AATAAGAAGCAGAAACACAAGTCATTCCAGCTATTCTTGGATCTTGGAATGACCTATCTCCTATCACTTTTTGCCTATTGCCTTTGGATATGACAACTTTTTTTGAAATAGGTATGCTATATGCTGCGCTATGTTTTGGATATATTTTCTACAAGGGAAATTACCTCCACTCCAGATTCTTGAAACAGTTTATCAAGTTGAGACTTCTTTTCGTGTTGTGTTATCTCAGAAGACACGTCCATGGTCAACAAGATGCTTTCACATAGTTTATTAATCAAGGCTTTTGTGGAGCTCTTGTCTACTGTCAATTTGTTCTAAACAAACAAAAGCTAAAACAATTCAATGGCAGATCAGCAGTGGCTGCTAAGAGGGGTCACATGGTGCCCATGACAAGTCTTTTCTTATATTCAACCAAGATAGCAGCAATGAAAACCACCTATAGCATGGTTTTTTATATGTATTTGAAAATCTCACCTCAGGCAGCTTCCATTCCTGGCCATCCTGTGACTTGATGATAATGAACTCAAGCACAGGGTGTTTGTCTCTTCTTTCAATGCTACCATCAACTGACCTACGCCACCTGGAAAAAATAACAAGCATTATTTTCTACAGGGATCATGGAGCATAAATAGTTTAGAGTGTGGGTGAGTCTAGGGGAATGCGCCCCACCCCCACCCCCTAATTTTGAAATTAGGGCTTAGGCAACATATATATTTTATCCTGTAATCTTTACAGGTTTTCTTAATAGCCTTTAATGATGCTCCCTGCATACATGATGGAGTGTCATTATTTTGAACCTCCTGGAGATGAGGGGGAAGGTGTAAAATAACAGAGGCTCATGATATCCAGGATGCAATATTCCTTTTCACAGTTCCCTGCGCCATCTTGAAAGGTAGCTGTGCCTTTGCATCGAAGCAAGATGAACGGTGAGTTTGCAACGATATAGATCTTTTTTTAACACTTTGAACAATTATTCATGTCTCTATCATTGCAACCTCACCGTTCATCTTGCTCTGATGGAAAGGTAAGGCTACCTTTCAAGATGGCACAAGGATCTATGAAGGACACTATTGTAGTGATGCAAGTCCATAATACACAGCCTTAAAGTTGAGATAATATCTGCAAGTTGATGAATTTTGGTTACCCTACCTTGTTATGATGTGGCAATGGGTGTGGTTTGGTCCCCAGTATTCTAGTAACCCTCGGCCAACCAGACCAGTTCTTCCCATTGGATTCCTGCAAGTGGAAATAAAAAGATAAGATTGTTTGAGATGACGCATTAGAGCCGGCTACAGATTGATGTTACCTTGGTAACCCTTGGATGATGTCATATTGTCCAGTGTAGCTTTGTCGGTTGATATTGCCGTCAACTGCATTGAAAGATAGCTGGACATCTGGAGCAGATACACTGATAGGAAATGATTGAGAAACAAATAAATTTAATATGTACGACAGGGCGGGTTGGATCCATGTTTTTTGGGAGGGGGTACCCAATAAATGGATGAGAAGTAATAATATAAATTTAATATAAATGTTGTCAAATTTACCTTTGGAGATCTGGATCTGCACTACTGCGTAGTATGGTGTCAGCTGCATATTTTGGAGGATCGTACCCCAAGACCACTGCCTATCCATCAAAAGTGTTTTAGTTTGATATCCACTAACTAATTTTTAAATGCTTTTAATAATAGAGTATCCCATTCTTAACTGAACTATTTATTACTCATTTCTTCACTTTTTTGTTGGTTATGTGTTGTTGTTTAATTTATTTTTGTATCGAAATGGTCATTACTGATACATATGGTGGGGAATCCAATGGCATCCCTGTACTTGAAGCTTTGAAACAATTGTTTCAAATAAAGACCTTGAAAGAGTTGGTTTATTCTCCATCTATTTTCCCTTCCCATCCCCAACCAACATACACATACAACCAAATACACCACTATCATCCATCCACACACCACCACCACATAGCACAATCACCCATCCACACACTACTAAGCACACCATACCACACCATCATCACCCACCCACACACCACCATCACCCACCCACCCAGGGGCGGATCCAGGATTTTGTTCAGGGAGAGGTGCTGCGCACAATGTTAACCCAGAGAGGGGTGCACCCCTTAGAACCAAAGGCAAAAAACAAAATTGGTTATCTTCGAAGTAGGAGCCCCTGCCACCCACTCAATATCACCCACTTAATACCTTCCAGTCAACTTGGTTGTCTTGCAATGGGTAACGTTCAATGTTGCTCATAGGGTATGGGGTACGTCTTGCCCTCAAGTGAACTGTCGGCATACTCTCCAGTTCATCACGTGCTCGTTTGGAATGCCTGGATGTCAAGTCTGAGAAGAGACCTCTTGCTGAAAGATATTAAGTATTCAATAAGGAAATTTCATGCGATATTAGCTTAAAGCGTAAATGTTAGAGCATTTGATTACTGTATAGCGAGGTCTTGATCACAGGGAAGGCAATGTACCAGTTTCCCACCAATGCACACGCGCACACGTTTCCCGCCATTTCCCAATAATTCCGTATGGTTGAATGAAATCTGGTGCCAAGATAAGAGGTGCAGAACAGTAGCTTGTATTCATATCAAAAGAAAAACTATTAGAGGAATAGAAAATAGACTTCTTACCCTTCACAMAMAMAAAAAAAAAGAAGTGTATGATTTTTAGGCCTGTCCTCCGTCCCCCTGCGAGCGTTATGTGGAACACACACACACACACATGTGCGCATTTCCTATTTCGTCCTCTTTACACAAGGAATTGAAATATGGTGACTAATTTGAGTAACTATTGTTCTGCACTGACTAGCGACTGACTAGCTAGCCTCTCCTACATGTGAAAACGCTTTTATGCTTTAACTTGAACACAAGGCTAGTCGGTCGCTAGTCAGTGCAGAACAATAAGCAATTATTGGATGAGTTGAGCTTGATGTCGTAAATTATCCCGAGGTCTTGATAATTTACGATATTATGCGATAACCGAACTCAATAATTGCTTTATTATACATTTTGTAAACTGGAAAAAATTAACATGAACTTTAAATTATAGAGACAAGAATTATGAACGCCATGCCCCGATCAGTTACGTGAAAAACGCAAAATTCTTAATTCAGAAATATTTCGAGAATTCTTCATAAAATAGTATGAAAATAAGTTAAGGATTCCTTAAATAATTGTTTTTGTACATAATTCTGGAAATAAATACACATGAATAAAAACAAAGCTACCACAGCGTGACCTTGAATGAACTTGACATGATAAATGTACTATCTGTAGTAAAACCTACAGATAATACATTTATCATGTCGAGTTCACGCGATATCAGGGATTGGCTGAGGGCTCTCGACCAATCAGAATTGAGATACTTAGTAAAATACAGTTGTATATGATAATAGTTATTCAAATTGGCCGCCATATTTCAATTCGTTGGATTACACAACTCTTTCATGTTGTTGTTGTAGTACCTTTGGACGTCTTGGGCACTTCTTCTACTTCTGCATCTGGAGAAGTGGCGGGAGATTCTCCGCTTCCGCGCCGTCTTTTCGGACACGGTGGCAAAGGGCTATCACCCTTTCTATCTGGGAAAGCCTTGACTGCGTGGACTACCTGTTTACCTGCCTGGCGCAGGTGTGGACTTCTGGCTACGGCCTTGAAGTGACTTATCAACTCTGAACTTGACTTTTCTAGAAGATTAAAATCAATATATCAACCAACCTTGCCGCCACGTCTTTTGTCATTTCACATCCTTGGAAAGCTATCGAAAACCAGCAATACAGCGGTTTTACACATTTTCGCGCGTTTTTGCGGGCTTATCATTCTCCCCCTCAATGACAGGGGAGGAAAACTTCTCATGCGCTATTGAAATTTGAAAGCGTTGGTCTTCATTGCGAAAGAGAACCTCACTAGAGTCTTCGCCTACATGAAGTATTTATCAAATAGAAGAGATAACTAGCTAAAAACTAGTGTGAGCTGCGTCGGTGTTTCTAGTGAAACAGTAATAATAAAAGGGTAAATCGATTTATCGATTGGCAAAATCAATATCGATTTTTATCGATTGACTACTCCGGGATTGATATACCGTGAAAAGATGAAAAAACTTACTGACGTTTCGGACACTAGTCCTTCGTCGGAGTAAAAAAGAGTATTTATCAATACCTTTCCTCATTCCATGAACAGGCTCATCCGGGTCTTCATCCTCGGAATCGAATTCCATCCCGTACCTCGAGGGACTCATCCCGTACCGGGCAGACAGAAGGTGGATGATGGATTTGGTGTTTCTCTCTAGCTGTCGCAGTCTTCCATTCATGGCTGTCATCGTCTTCGCTTGTGACGTGTCACGTGTGAAGGACTCTTTCGCTATTTCTTCGAGTTGAGTACTGATCGACTCGATCCTAAACGTTCAGAAATAAAGGTGGACGTTTGAGGCGCTGCCTCTACTCTCCGTCTCGCTCACTATTTATAAAATGTTCGAGTTCTAACGTGCGCTCAGATTGGTCGAAACGCCATTTCATTTCAATAAATTTTGATTTAATTCCCACATATTTTTTTTAGCTCCCTCTGAATTTAAACTCCAAAAATAAGCAGAGTTTTCGTTAAGTAGAGCAGGTGCAAGTCATTGCCGCCATCTTGGTTGACGATAAGAAAGCGTTCCTCATTAGCTTCTCTTTTTAGATCAACCAAGATGGCGGCTGTTTCATTGCTATTCATAACTCAAGGGATTTTGAGTCACATGGTTGCACAGACTCTATTGGTGTATTCGCTTGCTATTCAGTATAAAAGGGATTTTCGCGTCCTGGTTTCCTTCGTTTCTCTTATCATCCCGTTAAGATCAAAGTAAGATATGAGGGAGGGCAGTCTCTATTGTTTGAAGTCCCATGTCAAACGTCGAAATCTGCATGAGCCGAACCTAATGACATCAAAGAAAACCGCCTTGTTACTCATTTGTTTCAATTAGGTTCGGCTCATGCGAAGTTCGACGTTTGACCCTGAGGCTAAAACGGAACACGCTGTTATATTTATTGGTTCTATAATGTGAAAATACCTGTTTCCTATCACTTTTACTCGCTCCTCGGCAGTGGCGTTGAAAAGCGTGTCCCTGTTGTACTGGTAGGAAAACAAACAATGCTCTTCGAAAATCAGCAGTTCTTCCAGCTCGCGCTTCTCCAGGAACAACTCTGTTAAATAATAAAGTAAGCTGCTGAAGCACTTATTTTTGCATGTAACGTTATAGCCAACTTAAAGGTAACGAAACTTTTGATTTCGTCTTGGTTTCATTTTTTGTCAACCACTATGCCATGGTCATGTCTTTTGTCCATTTTCTCATGGCAAGAGATCCCAATATTTTTTAAAAAGTGAACAAAAGTATAGGAGTAAGTGGGTTTGAAAAACAGTCAGAGCATCCGCAAGTCAATAAATTCGCTCTGCACTAGTCTCCCTCGCGGCCGTTCTTAGTGTCATCACGCAACGATCGTCACGCAACGATCCCTCCCCAAAACAGGCTGCAGGGATCTTGGACATTCTAATCTTGTCCCCAGTGTCAGATCCACAATTCCTCGCGCCACAGCTTTGGTAGCAGTCTTGCGTCGAATTTAATTTAGGGCGGACAAATTACATGTCAAGTGCCCTCTCAAAAAAATTAACGAAAAAAAAGCTTACTTAGTCTGTTATCAGACCGAATATCATTCTGGTCAGTTTTCTTCCCGCAGCAGCAAATCTTGTTCCAGAAGCAAATGACCAACTCGATCACGTGGTTCAAGATGATGAGTGGCGGTACGAGCACTGGTCTCTGCGCATACTCCATGATCAGTCCATACCGCTGAAATTTCCAGATTTGATTCGAGTTGGCTTGGACTTCAGAGAATGTGTTGCTATGATGATAAGAAAAATATCACATTTTTAACTTGAAAAATTGGATTAAATCGAAATAAATAAATAGAAATACATACATTTGTACCGTTTAGGAAACGAAGTCAAAATATTTTGCCGCCTTTTTGGGTTTGGGTAGACTCGTCGGAAGTGACGTGGTTAATATTTCCGGCATCCAGTTTTCTTAATTTGGGTAGTTTAGCTATGAACTAAATTTCCCGCCATTTTTAGCAGACGCGTCGGAAGTGACGTAGTTACTATTTCGTTCAGGTTTCCTTATTTGAAAAGGTGGAGTTAGGACTTATTTTCGAGCTATTTTTGTCAGACACGTCAGAAGTGACGTAGCGATTTTGTTCAGGTTTCCATATTTGGGAGGGTGGAGTTTGGACTATGGTTTTCCCGCCATTCTCGGCAACTTAAGATAAAAGAACGAATATACTAACTTGAAAATAGCAATCAGCAGATTGAGTAGGAGGATGTTCGCCACCAGTAGATAGAAGGCCAAGATGAGTGTTGAGATGGGTCCACTGTATTCATCATATCTTGGCGTACTGAACTCTGTTGTCGTATTATCAACTACAGGAAAATAACACACGCAAAGTAAAACACATAAGAAATGATCGTGCTGGGCTTTTTTTAAATCGTTAGTTTAAATCGCTTGTAATTGGAGAAAATTTCAAAAATCCAAATTAATTCCAGTCTTGTTATAACACTTTGTTTTACAGCTCGTTCAGTGACCACGAATAATCGTTACAAGTCGAGGTTGAAGTTTCCACTCATGATAAAACGTAAATAGGAACTTATATTCGTGGTCACTGAATGGAATTATAAAAAGAAGTATTATTAGCCGGAAGTGACATCAAAGGTTCCAAAAAAAAGTGAGCTGGACTGCACGCTAGCAATCAACCAGGCATCGAAATTTGGTTAACACTCTGGCGGATCTAATGGACAGGACTGGATGGGGTGGGGTTTAAGGTGACGATGGAACCCTCTTATCAAAGCCCTAAATCCCCGGCCCCACTGGTTTTTATTAGTATAGCTGTTAACGTTACTCACGTTGCAGTGGATCAGTGATAAAGAGCTCTCCATACGTCTGGAAATACGGCCTGAATAAGATCATAGAGATTATGTTCCAAGTTGGTTTTTGCTTTGGGAACAAAATGGCCTGTTGAGCGACGCCATACGCCAGCAAGAATACCACCATTATAACCAAAAAGTACAACATGTCGATGGTCATTCGACCAATCATAACCACGTATGGACCTAAGTGCTTGCTGACTGAAAAAATGTCTAATAAGCGAATGATCCACAGCATGATGTCGAGGCTGTAGATCACGTGACCTATGTAAGCGGTAGAGGAGTGGAACCTCAGTCCCATGCCCACGAAGAAGAGCAACACAGCAATCCCATCACAGATATTCCATTTGCTTGACGCCCAGGCTCCGAGTCTGCTTTCTGTTCCAAACGGGTCTGACTGAATGATCTGGAATACAAAATACAAAATAATTGACGAATCAGTTAGACGTCTTTAGATTTAAGCGCAATGCTTTCCCATTTGAGACCACGTGTCATGTTCTTGAAAATAAGTTTCTTCGTTTGTGTTGTATCCACATTCACATGTGTCTTCTCAGGCACAACTGTTAAACAAGGAAATGATACTCTAGGGAATAACACATGGTCTGAAATGGGAAAACATTGAGCCCACTGTAAAGAGGACTATCGTTGCTCATACCTATGCTTGTGTTTCACTAAAATTTTCACGATAAACGTGAATCCAAGAAAGTAACTTAATGTTTATGCAAATGAGCATGATATGAATATTCTGAAAAGCCTTAAAGAGGACGAATAAAGTATGTATGTATGTATGATTTTGTGTCAAAATTTTAAAACTCTTCACGGTCATCATTTTTATTGTTTTCTCATAAATTATTAATGTTCTTGTTTAGCAGTTGTAGACTACTCTTGGGTCTTGAAAAAGAAAACATGGTGCATTGTGGTCTAGCTTGGGTACAAATAACTTTTGCTCATAGTGCCTTATATGGTGTTGTTTGGCCCCAAGCTATAGCACAATGCATCTTGTTTGCCGAGCTCAGAAAAAGTATATGCAGTGACTGAGTAAGTCATACCTGTCTTATTTCCTCCGTGCAGAGAGAACAAACAAACACAATGAGTACAGTCTCTGCAATCAGTGAAGAACCATGCTCGTTCACCAAGATGACGTAGCTGAACAACATCAGAAACATCATATACGCTATATAGAAAGTAAATAAATAAATAATAAAAATCACTTTATTTAAGTGTCTAGTCGTTCTAGCGCTTTCGCACCAATCGGTGACACTTTTCACTCACACGCACTACCACTACATTTAATATTCTATGCACACCACGCTCAACTCACATGTTGATTTTTACGGAAGGAGGAAACCGGAAAACCCGGAGAAAACCATCGTAACATAGGAGAGAACAACACATCAAACAAACTCAAATCACTCTTTTACTCCGACGAAGGACTAGYGTCCGAAACGTCAGTAAGGGACTGTTCATTAATTATGCCTCAGGGTGAGCTGGAGGAAAAATCGAAAAAAAACTTGGAAAAATTCACAACCCCCGATTCTATCTAAAAAACTTTTTTTGACTCCCCCTCCTTGTAACCTTTTAGACATACCTTAATTATTCCCCCCCTTCCCTTTAAGTCAGCAAATACTATTAAAGCCCCCCCTTCTTTGTGTGATTTCTTTTCAAAGCCCCCTACTTTTTCTCTATCCGCAAACATAAGGAGCTAAATTCCAATACCCTGATGACTTTGATCAGCCAAGAGGTTGTTACAGGGTGTCAATAAAATTTGAAGGTTGAAATATTACAACTCACCACGTTGGCCCAAAACTTGGTGATAGGTGCTCGGTAAAACTCCAGGAACTTTCTTCCAACGCTTAGCTTCTTCACACTGTACTGGGACATTGAGCTGTCGCTAGGTGCAATGGTGTACTTGTTGGCACTGAGGACACAAGGGAGGAAAGATTGGGTGGAGTGTTACGATTAAGATGAAGGTGCTTGTTATGACTATTGTCATCAAATATGATATTCCTCTACGCCCATCACCACTATCATCACCATCATTATATCATCACTATCACCACCATCACCATATCATCACCATCAACATCACCACCATCACCATCATCACCATATCATCACCACCATCACTATCACCGTCATCATCACAATCATTATCATCATCTTCATCCTCACCATCAACATATTATCACCATCATTATCACAATCATCATCAACACCATCATCATCACCACCATCTTTTTTAATAACATCATCATCAGTATCAGAAGAATTATCACCACCACCACCACCTGGTACCATCAGCATCATGATTGTCATCACCAGAATCCTCACTACCATCACCATCACCACCATCACCATCATCATCACCACCATCACCACCATCATCACCACCATCACCACCACCACCACCATCACCACCACCATCACCACCACCACCACCACCACCACCACCATCACCACCACCATGATCGTTGTCACTCCACCATCATCAAAACACCATAATTATCATCATCATCACCAACACCAATATGTACCGATTTTTCCGTTCAGTGCTTTTAACCCTGTGTCTCGACCTCTTCGAGTCTCTCTTCGTCAGAGAATCTTGCTCCTCTCCCTCTTCACTTGAGTCAGCAGAATATCTGTCAGTCTGCTCGATATCATTTTGATGTCCCACCATGGTGACTGGTAACAGCGATAGCCGTCTCTTCGTCTTGAACTCCATGCAACAAATGGTGGGTGGAACAATGATTCCCAGAATCACCTGTACCGATAGAGAAAGAGAGTTAGATTAGTCATGCAAGGAAAGTCTTAAAAAATAGTTTAAAATAAGCGTGACATGCTATTGATCTGGGTGGTGGATACTGGCAAATACCTCCCGGCCTTTTTTCCAAGAGACCCGTTGAAATGTTTTTACAAATACTTGTGGGACAATCTGAGCTGAGACAGCTAAGCAGAGACAGGAATCAAAAACCATAGCTGAATCTACGCATGCTTCTTGGACGTATCTTAAATAAAAGGCTAAAAAAACGCGCCTGGTGCGAAAGCATACTATTGAATGGTTTTTTATTTAACACGCACTGTTAACCAATCAAAATACAATATTCTCTTATTAATACGCAATGTTATCCAATAAAAAGATAATATTACAAGTGCGGTAAAACTGAACATTTATCATGTAAAATGGTAAAATGAAAGATCTCTGATAGCAGACTTGATAGGTGCAATATTCTATTATTGATACGCATCGTCAGCCAATCAAAAGGCATAATCATTAACAAGTAACGTAACATTTACCATGAAAGATGGCATGCATAGGTTCTTTATCGCACCCATCCAGATCTCTGATAGCAGACTCTGACAAGTCACGTGTGCAACAAACTCCTCGTGGTTCAAGCCAACCGCGAGAGACAGGCACGAGTGTCCACACCAGTCCTTCAGGTTGTAGGTGAGCAGCTTCTGCGCAGCATGTTCGTTTGCTCGATAGCATTCGTCAAGAAGAGCGAGGGCTACGTCTTTGAATTCCCTAAAGAAAAGATAATGGAATGAAAGGTAATCAAAAGACAAAAATGGAAGGGAGGATGAAAAGAATGGAGGAACAAATGGGTGGATGGGTGGATGGGTGGATGGATGGGTGGATGGATGGGTGGATGGGTGGATGGATGGGTGGATGGATGGATGGATGGATGGGTGG